TTTTTAACCGATTTTTCAATATTTTAAAAATAGTTAAAAAATGGCAAATGCGATGCTATAGCCTTAACTTTTCCTCCATTTTCAGCCGATTTTCAATTTTTAAAAAATACTAAAAAATGGCAAAAAAGCAAGGCAAAAAATCACAAAAAAGCAAGGCTGTAGCCTTAGGTTTTCGTCCATTTTTAGCCGATTTTTCAATTTTTTAAAAATAGTAAACAATGGCAAAAAAAAAGTAAGGCAAAAAATCACAAAAAAGCAAGGCTGTAGCCTTAGGTTTTCGACCATTTTAGCCGATTTTTCATTTTTTTAAAAATAGTAAAAAATGGCAAAAAAAAGCAATGCAAAAAATTACAAAAAAGCAAGGCTGTAGCCTTAGGTTTTCGTCCATATTTAGCCGATTTTTCAATATTTTAAAAAGAGGAAAACAATGGAAAAAAGTAAGGCTATAGCCTTAACATTTCGCGCATTTTTAACCGATTTTTCAATATTTTAAAAATGGTGAAAAAATGGCAAAACCTAGGTATAACCTTAACTTTCCGTCCATTTTTAGCCGATTTTTCAATATTTTAAAAATAGTGAAAATTGGCAAAAAAGCAAGGCAATAGCCTTAAAGTTTCGTCCACTTTTAGGTGATTTTTCAATATTTTAAGAAGAGGCAAAAAATAGCAAAAATAAGGCTGCCCTAACGCTATTATAGCCTTAACTTTTAGTCCTTTTTTAGCCGCTTTTTAAATCTTCCAAAGAGAGGCAAAAAGGAGGCAAAAAATCACAAAAATGCATTGCTGTAGCCTTAAGTTTTCGTCAAATTTTAGCCGATTTTTCAATACTTTAAAAGGACGAAAACAATGGAAACAAGTGAGGCTATAACCTTAACTTTTCGTCCATTTTTAACCGATTTTTCAATATTTTAAAAATAGTGAAAAATGGAAAAAACGAGGCTATAGCCTTAACTTTTCCTCCATTTTCAGCCGATTTTTCAATTTTTCAAAAATAGTAAAAAATGGCAAAAAAGCAAGGCAAAAAATCACAAAAAGCAAGGATATAGCCTTAGGTTTTCGTCCAATTTTGGCCGATTTTTCAATTTTTTAAAAATAGTAAAAATGGCAAAAAAAAGCAAGGCAAAAATCACAAAAAAGCAAGGCTGTAGCCTTAGGTTTTCGTCCATTTTTAGCCGATTTTTCAATATTTTAAAAAGAGGAAAACAATGGAAAAAGTAAGGCTATATCCTTAACTTTTCGTCCTTTTTTAGCCGATTTTTACATCTTCCAAAGAGAGGCAAAAAAGAGGCAAAAATCACAAAAAACCAAGGCTGTAGCCTTAAATTTTCGTCCATTTTTAGCCGTTTTTTCAATATTTTAAAAATAGGAAAACAATGGAAAAAAGTAAGGCTATAGCCTTAACTTTTCGTGCATTTTTAGCCGATTTTTCAATATTTTAAAAATAGTGAAAAAATGGCAAAAATGAGGAATAACCTTAACTTTTCGTCCATTTTTAGCCGATTTTTCAATATTTTAAAAAGAGCAAAACAATGGAAAGAAGTAACGCTATAGCCTTAACTTTTCGTCCATTTTTAACCGATTTTTCAATATTTTAAAAATAGTGAAAAAATGGCAAAAGCGATGCTATAGCCTTAACTTTTTCTCCATTTTCAGCCGATTTTTCAATTTTTTAAAAATAGTTAAAAATGACAAAAAGCAAGGCAAAAAATCACAAAAAAGCAAGGCTGTAGCCTTAGGTTTTCGTCCATTTTTAGCCGATTTTTCAATTTTTTAAAAATAGTCAAAATGGCAAAAAAAGCAAGGCAAAAAATCACAAAAAAGCAAGGCTGTAGCCTTAGGTTTTCGTCCATTTTTAGCCGATTTTTCAATATTTTAAGAAAAGGAAAACAATGGAAAAAAGTAAGGCTATAGCCTTAACTTTTCGTCCATTTTTAGCCGATTTTTAAATCTTCCAAAGAGAGGCAAAAAAGAGGCAAAATCACAAAAAAGCAAGACTATAGCCTAAACTTTTCGTGCATTTTTAACCGATTTTTCAATATTTTAAAAATAGTGAAAAAATGGCAAAAGTGAGGTATAACCTTAACTTTTCGTCCATTTTTAGCCGATTTTTCAATATTTTAAAAATACCAAAACAATAGAAAGAAGTAAGGCTATAGCCTTAACTTTTCGTCCATTTTTAACCGATTTTTCAATATTTTATAAATAGTGAAAATATGGCAAAAGCGATGCTATTGCCTTAACTTTTCCTCCATTTTCAGCCGATTTTTCAATTTTTTAAAAATAGTAAAAAATGGCAAAAAAAGCAAAGCAGAAAATCACAAAAAAGCAAGGCTGTAGCCTTAGGTTTTCGTCCATTTTTAGCCGATTTTTCATTTTTTTAAAAATAGTAAAAAATGGCAAAATAAGCAAGGGAAAAATCACAAAAAAGCGAGGTTGTAGCCTTAGGTTTTCGTCCATTTTTAGCCGATTTTTCAATTTTTTAAAAATAGTAAAAATGGCAACAAAAAGCAAGGCAAAAAATCAAAAAAAAGCAAGGCCGTAGGCTTAGGTTTTCGCCATTTTTAGTCGATTTTTCCTTTTTTTTAAAATGGTAAAAAATGGCAAAAAAAGCAAGGCAAAAAATTACAAAAAAGCAAGGCTGTAGCCTTAGGTTTTCGTCCATTTTTAGCCGATTTTTCAATATTTTAAAAAGAAGAAAACAATGGAAAAAAAGTAAGGCTATATCCTTAACTTTTCGTCCATTTTTAGCCGATTTTTAAATCTTCCAAAGAGAGGCAAAAAAGAGGCAATAATTACAAAAAAGCAAGGCTGTAGCCTTAAGTTTTCGTCCATTTTTAGCCGATTTTTCAATATTTTAAAAAGAGAAAAACAATGGAAAAAGTAAGGCTATAGCCTTAACTTTTCGCGCATTTTTAACCGATTTTTCAATATTTTAAAAATAGTGAAAAAATGGCAAAAGTGAGGTATAACCTTAACTTTCCGTCCATTTTTAGCCGATTTTTCAATATTTTAAAAATAGTGAAAATTGGCAAAAAAGCAAGGCTATAGCCTGACAAAATGGCGGACATGTCTACAATGGCTGCGTAGAAAGATTTAAAACTGATGTGATTAAGAGGAGTTATCCAATAGTATTTTTGTTTGCCAACAAAGTTAAGCATCTACAATCGCGTGCAAAAATTCTTGAGACAAGCAGTTTGTTGGCCCTCTCCCTGCTGTAACAATGCTTCTTGCCCACCCCCCTTGTGCAATGTTGTTAAAACGATTTTGAGGTCAGGGCTTATCAAATAATATGTTTTCAACATTGTTAATGGGTGGAGGGTGGCACGCACGTGAAAAAGATCACCAAAATGTGAAGAGTCTCATTGTTTTTGCACGCGATTGTCTATGTAGTTTCGAGTAATGATAATTTTAATACGGTTATTTCGCTTTGCCGTAAATAAGAAGCATAACAGCCTTTGCTTGCTGTGGCTATGTGTTTCATGTGTGCCTAAGGATTTTACCTACAGTGTGTAAAATTGTGACGTCACAATGACGTCATCGTGACGTCACAAATGACCGTAAATAGTTCATAAATTGAACGCGTCCCGCTTGAGAATCAAAACAGTTAGGACAAGATGCCATTGACAAGCAGATCACGTCAGAAAAGTTTGAACAATTTTCCGAATGAGTTAAAAGCACGACGATGAATTTGTCAAAAAGTTTTATGAACTGAATTATTATATCGATGAACAAGCGTGTTGCAATGATCAGTGAGAAACGAGGAGAACGACTAAAGTATTAAATTTATTAAGTGTTTTCTATATTACAATGTTTTTCCCTATTTATACCGTTTATATTGGCAGTGCCTTTTGACTTCAATAACTGTTTTAGATGCTTAATAGTGACGAATGTATTAAGTAAACACTTCTACCATGCATATTCAATAAAAGTACTATGCGAAAACTCAACGACTTATTGCCTACGGGAAAATTATTTTGAAGACCTTATACATGCATACCAGCTAAATAGAACTCAATTTCAACACGTTACGCACACGTTACGCACACGTTACGCCACACGTTACGCCTTTCACTATATAAGAATCTATAGCAAGCTGACACGTTACACACGTTACGCCTAATATATTAAAAGTAAACCTATTCTACCTTTAAAAGAATGGGGCGTAACGTGTGTAACGTGTCGGTTTTCATTAATATTCTATATAAAGTCAAGCGTAACGTGTGGCGTAACGTGTGTGTAACGTGTGCGTAACGTGTTATCTATTCTTATATATTTCATTGAGAGTAAATGTGCAATGATGGCAGCATGAAAAAAGTTCATCCAAAAACAACAGTTCGTCAAAACAGCGTGGGTACGGAGACAGGTCTTTCTGCTCCGCCTGCGGAATCTTCCGGGTAAACTCAAAGACCCTCCACCAAACAAACCAGATAATTTCTGTTTCGCGTTCGTCAACCTGTCCGTTTCTGCCGTAGTAGAAAATTGCGTTGCTTAAAGTTGCAAAAATTGGATGTCAGAGTCCAGATTGAAAAGTTAGAACAGGAGACATAGAGGATCCAATAAGCAGTTGTTTACTCGTACCCAGTCCCCCATTCTGCGTCTTTTGAGTCCATTTTTGTGCGAGTTTCGCACGAAAACTAAACTACTGGGCTTAAAGCGCGAAAGTGAAAATTTTGCCCGAGACTGCTTTAAGTTCAATTTTTCGCAGAAATTTAATTAAGTTTGTGAACACAATGAGGCCTCTGCTAAGACAATCGCGTGCAAAAATTCTTGAGACAAGCAGTTTGTTGGCCCTCTCCCTGCTGTAACAATGCTTCTTGCCCACCCCCCTTGTGCAATGTTGTTAAAACGATTTTGAGGTCAGGGCTTATCAAATAATATGTTTTCAACATTGTTAATGGGTGGAGGGTGGCAAGCACGTGAAAAAGATCACCAAAATGTGAAGAGTCTCATTATTTTTGCACGCGATTGTAGGGAAGGTGTTATTAACACTACTGGATGAAAATGTCGACCACAAAGCCAGAAAAACGATCATCTTTACCTCCGCTTGTCATCAGGTGTCCTGATCCGACACAAATACGCTATCAAGTCGACGAGTTTAAACAGTCGAAGATGAAATCAATCCCTTATGAAAAGCTAAATTTTTCAATATATAAGCAATCAGCCAATATGGTTGCTCTCTGTACGTGTGAAGAACGAATTCTCTCGTGGATTAGAGCATTATATTTTCGTTATTTTCTCGGCCTTGAAAATAGTGACATAATCAAAACACGCTGGGAAGAACAAGAATGCGACGACGAAGCGTCTAAGTGCGTGAAAATTATTCTAAACCTCTCATTCAGAAAGAAATCAATTCACGAGAACTTAGTGACAATCACCATCTACACAACCCTTGGCAGAATTCATGTGCAAGGGAACGGACGTTTCTTACAAGAATGGGGCAACAAAGAATTTAAGTCATTGCTAACAATGATTAATGCCACCGACAATATTGATCAATGCAACTCGACACATAACCTTCAAAATTACATCGATGATATGATGAATCTAAAGGACATTGTGAAATTATCCGACTTGTCAACCGAAACTAATTATGTCTCTTCAAACAATACCATTAATGTAGAAGTAAACAAGATACCAGCAACACCGAAACAACCAGCAATACTAACAGAACCAGTAAACCAAGCAGAAAGTCCACGTGAGAAAACATTTTCATTTGTAAAGTCAAATTTAGCTCATCTTGAATCAGACTTTATTGACTTTAAACAAACAATGTCAAAGTCACTTGAACAGAAGAATGAAGAATTAAAAATATTGCAAGATAAACTCATTATGATGGAATCTAAGGAAACAAACATGCAACAAATTATTGGTGACTTAACCCTGAAGCAATATGCCCAAGACGAAGAAATAAAAAAACTCAAATCACACACAAAGAATCAACAACATGAATATCGAAACCTGCAGAAAAAACTGAACAACCTATCAGAAAGAATAAAAACAAATGATCCATCAACTAGTACAGAATTAACCAGCCTATCCCCTCCCTGAAGAATCGAGCAACACTTCCAATAACCAGCCCTCCAATCCTGAAGAGCAAGGGTCACCAAGTACACTTATAACCTCAATTGAATCAAATACAGAATGCTCATATTCCATACCTACATCTAACCAGTACTCAACTCTTCAAAATCAAGATGACACCACTGATATGCCAAGTATGCAGGAAGAAATGAATATAGGAACAAATTATGAGCAACAGTCAACCCTTCAAAACCAAGCTGAAACTACAGATACTAGTATTTCAACTGTGGAACATATAGAATCAAAAGATCAACAGCAAACAACCCTTCCCAAAGAATACAACAGTGAAACCATCATTCTTTTTGATTCGAATGGGCATCTTCTAGACACCAATCGCCTTTGCCCACGCTCAACCACCTCTTACATAAGATGTCCCACGCTCGCAAAAGCAAAAGACATCATAAACGAAGCTATCTTTAATGCACCAAAAACATTTATTTTGCACTGTGGTACAAATGACTTGGAAAAATATCATGATTATAATGACATTGTTAAAAAAACATCAGAAGTAATCAACCTAATAAATGAAAAATACCCTGAAAGCAAAATAATCCTGTCATCGCTCCTACCCAGAATGGACACACACCACGCTCAGGTAGGAAAAATTAATAAAGTACTTAAAACCAATTACTCAACAAAACCCAGTGTTCTCTTTGTTGAGCACAACAACCTTTTTCCCTCGAGACACCACCTCCACGACAAGAAACATTTAAATCAGTCTGGAGTTAAGATTTTTGCAAAAAACCTTAAATCTGCCTTCTTTTACCTCAAAAAGAATCCCAAACAAAACACCCCAATTCCTAATAAATTTAACCCACAAAAATACTACCAAGTACCATCTCCCTTTGGGTACCATAATTCAACATTCCCTCATCCAAATTTTCCATCCCCATCCGACCTATCCTTGCAACAGTTCTCCTCACCATATCTACCTCCAGCCAATCTACCATCACCTCGCTTACCCCAGCCATTCGACTTTCCACAATCCATGAATAGAAATGCCCAAAAACCCAGTAACAGGAATAATGTACCTAATCCCACCTCCCAATCCTACCATCAGATCCTGCCTCCCCCCACCATCCCTGTCGCTCCTCTTGCAAATTTTCCTCCTGTTTTACCCCCCACCAATTTACCCTCACCACATTTACCCTCACCACATTTACCATCACCACATCTACCCAGACCATTTAAATTATCCCACAAACCCAGCAACAAGAATAATGATAATCCCACCTGCCAATCCCATCACCAGACAATGCCTCCCCCCAACCTTTACGACCCAAAAAGTTTCCCTCCTCTCTCAAGTTTACCACCACCCCCTCCTGTTTTACCCCCCACCAATTTACCTTCATCACACTTACCCCCACCTCCTAACTCTCCCTGGAACTTCAATCAACAATACAACAAGAAAAACAATTGCCTTCCACCCCAACTTATTGAATTAATCAAGTCACTCCAGGGGTATGTGTATTAAAAGATAATTATATATACCGGTATATGTATATGCATGTATATACGTATATGTAGTAATATTCACAAACAAGAGTTTAAATATTATATTCATTTAATATATTCAAGGATAAAATATAGGAAAGCAAGAATTTTCTATTTGATGCTCCTCAGAGTCACGTCAATTATTCATTCTTTCAATTTGATTGTAAAATGTGCCCAAGTATTTCTGTTAGTGCATGGAACATCAATGGCATTTCTAATAAGGTCATTGGTGATAAGACAAAAAATGAAGATTTTGTTAATTATATAAAGTCTTATGACTTTGTATTTTTGACTGAGACTTGGTCCAGCGTCTCTGTCAACATCTCTGGTTTCAAGGCAATATCGTCCAATATCGCACCTCCAAAATCGAAACACAAATCTCGGCCATCTGGAGGTATCACGTTACTATTTAACAATAAATTCCAAAAATATGTCTCAGTTGTTAAAAAATCACACTTTTCACTTTGGTGTATGATATCCAAAGAACTACTAAACTCAGAAAATGATCTATATTTATGTGGTGTATATATACCACCAGAACAATCCAATTACTATGATATCGAAATGTTTGATAATCTGGAGAATGAAGCTATCATGTTTTCCACAAAAGGAGATGTAATGTCAATAGGTGATTTTAATGCCAGAACTAGCAAACTTGAAGATTTTGTTTCTACCGAAGGTAACAAACATGTATATCAATTTAACCAAGATAAATTTAATAAAAAAAAAAGAGAAAACTTTGATACCACAATTAATAACCATGGAAAAAGATTAATTGAATTTTGTAAAAACTGTGATTACCAAATCCTAAATGGTAGAACAAAAGGTGACTCTCTTGGTAAACCAACCTTCCATAATAAAAACGGTATAAGCACAATTGATTATGCAATATGCGATGCAAATATAATAGACAACATCAACCACTTTATTGTGAAACCCCCAAACTATCTATCTGACCATAGCCAAATTATTACATGCATAGATATTAAAGAAATTACAATAGAAACATCCACTACTTCTAGCACCAATTTCTCTAATATACTCCCTCGCCAATATATCTGGGACAATACATCTAATGGGACATTTGCTAATTGCCTTAGATCGTCAGACATTCAAAATAAAGTAGAGAAATTTCTGGAAAACAATTTCCCTGAGAACGATTACGGAGTTAATGAATGTCTTGAAGAATTCCAAGATATATTACAAGAAACTAGCAAAAGGTGTTTAAAAATAAAAAAGAATTCGAAACGATGCAAAATTAGAAATACAACCAATAAAAAATGGTTTGACAAGGAATGTAGGCTTAAAAGACATGCTGTTAGGAAATTAGCCAATCAAAAACACAGAAACCCGTTAGACGTAAATATAAGAAATCAGTATCATGTTACCTTAAAAGACTACAAAAATACTTTGAAAATCAAGAAAGAGGATTTTCACAGACAAAAACTAATTGAACTTGAAAAAACGGCCAGTGAAAATCCCAACTCTTTTTGGAAAACACTCAAAACTATGGATGATAACACAGATAACACAACTCCAAATTTAATCTCAGAGAAACAATGGCTTACTCATTTCGAAACATTACATTCAAAACCCAGTGTTGATACAGCTCAACATAATATTAAGATATTGCGGAGGGCTTTAATGAATATTTTTCAAATATTGGCCCAGATCTAGCTAGAAAAATAGATTATTCAAATTCCAATTTTGAAACCTATGTCAAAAATGCTCAATCAGAATTTGCGGCTTTCCAACCTGT